AGTGCAGCAGCCCTGCTCACATCCCACACCCCCTTCCCCAGCGAGCCATGGCTGTCACTTCCCGGGAGAGAATTGCCAGGGAGGTGCTGAGTGTATTTTTAGCTTTGCCGTTCATGTCTGATAAGTGTTTTGACCTTTTTGAGCAGAGCTAATCACGCTGTCTGCTCCTCATTGCATCTCAGCTCGTGCTCTGCCTGTCAGGGAGCCCAGGGAGGAGCTGCAGCTCCCACAGCACCCCTGCCATGCTGGGAGGGGGTTTCTTACCTGGGAGCCCTCCTGTGCACCAGGTGTGTGCCCTCAGCAGCCCTGCACCCTCAGCTGTGTGCCCGGGGAGTGGGTGGCACTGGGATTCCTGCAGGGATGGGAGCAGAGCACCTCTTCCATGGGCAGGGTGGGAGTGCCAGGGGATGGGCAGAGTGGGCAGGGCATCCCTGGGCTCAGAACAGCTTCATCCATCATCCGACCACCTGAGGGACCACCTGCATCCAGCAGTGCCCTGTGACAAGGTGGAGGGGCAGGGGCTGAGCTGGGAATGGCAGGGGATAGGCAGGGTGGGCAGGATGGGCAATGTGGGCAGCGTGGTTGGTGTGGTTGGTGTGGGCAGGGTGGGAATGGCAGGGGATAGACAGTGTGAGCAGGGTGGGCAGTGTGGGCAGGGTGGGCAGTGTGGGCAGGGTGGGCAGTGTGGGAATGGTCAGAGTGTGTAGGGTGGTGAGGGTGGGCAAGGTGGATGGTGTGGTTGGTGTGGCCAGTGTGCTCAGGGTGCTCAGGGTGCTCAGTGTGGGCAGGGTGGGAATGGTCAGGGTGGGTAGGGTGGTTGGTGTGGGAAGTGTGGCCAGTGTGCTCAGGGTGCTCAGGGTGCTCAGGGTGCTCTGGGCTGTGTGGTCAGGGTGGGCAGTGTGGGCAGTGTTGTTGGTGTGGTTGGTGTGGGCAGAGTGGGCAGGGTGCTCAGGAGGCTGTGCTGCCCCTGGCTGGCGGGCTGGGGTGTGGGTGGCACTGGAATTCCTTCAGGGATGGGATCAGAGCACTCTTCCCTGGGCAGGGGCCTGGGTGGGAATGGCAGGGGTGGTCAGGGTGGGCAATGTAGGCAGGGTGGGCAGTGTGGGGATGGCAGGGGATGGGCAGGGGATGGGCAGGGTGGGCAGGGGGCTGGCCTGCTGGGACACCAGGGCTGCCTGTCTGCCTGAGGGTGTGCACAGCTGCAGGCAGGGATGGGATCAGAGCACCTCTTCCCTGGGCAGGGTGGGCAGTGTGGGAATGGCAGGGGTGGTCAGGATGGGCACTGTGGGCAGGGGCGCTGGCCTGCCAGCCATCTGAAAATCTGGCACCATCCTCAGAGCCCCCCAGGCCTGGCTGCCTGTCTGCCTGGGGTGTGCACAGCTGCAGGCAGGGCAGAGCAGGGAAGGGCAGGGCAGGGCAGGGCAGGGCAGGGTGAGCTCTGGGCTTCCCCAGGGCCAGCCCTGGCAGCCAGGCCTGGGGGGGGCTCTGAGGGTGATGCCAGGCCCAGGGGGGGCTCTGAGGGTGATGCCAGGCCCAGGGGGGCTCTGAGGGTGGTGCCAGGCCAGGCTCCAGCCTGGGGGCTCTGAGGGTGGTGCCAGGCCCAGGGGGGCTCTGAGGGTGATGCCAGGCCCGGGGGGGCTCTGAGGGTGATGCCAGGCCCAGGGGGGCTCTGAGGATGGTTCCAGGCCCGGGGGGGCTCTAAGGGTGGTGCCAGGCCAGGCTCCAGCCCACTCTTTCTCTTGCTGCCTGGGAAATTAGGCAGAAAATGCTGCGATTGAGTGTGAAGGCCTCTGCTGTAATTTGGGGCGAGCAGATGACACGCACCCGTCGTCGGAGGGAGATGAAAGCTTTTAGGGCTGGTGAGCACTAGCAAAATCTGTGAAAATCTCTTTTTTGTCAGGAGTGGTAGATACACAGGCAGATGAAAGACAGAAGATAAAATTAGCCCAAATGCTACAGAGAGAAAGAGAGAAGGAGAAACGGGGAGGGGGAGGAGGATATTTCTCAGAAGACTCTTGGCAGGGGAGGTTTCAACACTGATGACTCAAAGGCAAAGGGGATATATATTTATATATATTTTTATATATTTATATATATAAATATATATATTTATATATTTATATATATATATATATACTTATATATATTTATATATTTACATCTATATATATTTATATATATATTATATATTTATATATACTTGTATATATTTTTATATATTTTTATATATTTATATATATAAATGTATGTGTGAGGGTCAACGTGTGGGGCTGTGTTTGGCTGTGCTCCCACGGCAGCAGCATCACCTGGGGCTGATCCTTTTGGGACTGTGAGCTTGTCCCCATCTCTGCTGTGTCAGGCAGGGAGCCCTGCTGCCCGTGGCCCCTCCATCCATGGGGAACTCCAGGGTGTCTATGGCTGCTCCTGGAGGACACAATCCTGCCTCCAGCAGGAGAAAGCACAGTGCCCACTCCAGTGGATGGTGTGAACGTGCTGAGCAGTGCCACACGCTCTCTGAGGTGACTTTAATTCCATTTTTCCCGTGCTTTGGTGGCTCAGATGGAAGCGTGCAGCTCCAGGCTGCAGCTCTGTGCTCAGAGGGGCATGAGCAGCAGGAGATGCCCTGAGCATCTCGGCCCCTGCACCTCTGACTCGTCACATGGATGCAGATGTCCCTCACGTGGGAGGATGATGGGTGAGGCTGCTCTGAGCTGGGGGTGCCCAGGGCTGTGCAGGAGGAGTCATGGCATGGGGGGGACATCTGGGCATCGGGGGACAGCAGCTGCTCCTCCACCTTGTCACAGGGCTCTGATGGATGCAGGTGGCCCCTCAGGTGGGCAGATGGTGGCTGGGCTGTTCTGAGCCCCAGGGATGCCCACATGCCCACCCAGCTGCAGGGCTGTGCGGGAGCGCGGTGCCAGCGCCCAGCGCTGCCTGCTCGGAAGGGAAGGAATAAATAACCCAGCCGTGAGGGACAGAGCGAGAAGCACTGGCCAAAGCCTCCCCAGCAGGCGTCTGTGGCTCCCAGCTGCAGCCCCGGTTGCCTGGCTGGGTTATCCCTGTGGGAGTGCCAGCAGGGATGGCAGCTCTGCAGCCGGCACAGACACGAACCTCTCCCTCCTCTGAGCGCTCCCAAATGCCTTTCACCAGCACAACAATTAGAAACCTAATTCCTATTTCTCCTGCTCAGCTAATTGTCTGTGGACAATTTGATTGTAGGAGTGCCCAGTGATGCAGAATAACCATCTTATTTCTGCTAGACATTGCCTTTGCAATTAGTGCTATTGATTGCATCGCTCTGCTCCCTCACCTGCCGGGGCCCAGGGGAGCAGCTCTCACCTGGCTCATCCCTCCCACGGCAGCCTGGCCGTGTCCCCCCTGTGGCAGCGCTGGCCCTTGGCCACCAGAGAGGGTGAGGGCTGAGCTCCAGACACTGCTCTCTGCTCCAGAGGGAGGAATTCCTCCCCTCAGGGCTCACAGCCACCCAGGAGGGTCCCTCCAAAGCCACCACGGAGCTCCCACAGAGGAGACATCTCTGCCTGCAAGGGACTCTAACCAGGCAGGCTGGCTAGAGCTGGGAGGGCTTGTTTTTTGGTTTTTTTTTTGTTGTTGTTTTTTTTTTTAATATATAAAAACAAAAATTCAGATTTGACAACACCAAAAGGTTCTGGATGAATATGTCGATTATGCTGAATGGTTTGTTTGGAGGGAAAAAAAACCCCCAAAAGATCAAAACATTTCATTTCAGTCTATTCAGATTGAAATGTTTTGATTTTTTTTTTCCCTCGTCCAAATGACTTTGTTTCAAAGTTTCCCTTAATTTTATTTTGCTAAACATCAAAAAAGATTTCTGTGAAATGGCTGTAGTTGGAAGGAAATGCATTGGCTTGGGCACAGCCAAACCTTTGGTGTAACCGCCACCCTAAAAATTCCCCCCCTCCCTTTTTTCCATTTATTAGAATTTCCAGGGATTTTTGTTTTCAGGCCAGCTCTAAAAGACACATGGTTGTGCTTTCCCTGTCACAAAGCACTCACAGATCTCCTGCTGTACACAGGGGCTGGGCTGTCCTGGGGGGCTGCAGACCTGCTCTGCCCCCCAACTCCAGCCCTCCCTGCCAGGGCTCTGTGTGGGACCCTCTTTGTCCCCAGCCTGTGGCCCAAAGGGCCATGGCAGATTCTGGTTTTGGTGCCAGCCTGGCTCTGCCTGCTCTGGGCATCACCTGGGGACACCCAGGGTGCTCAGGGGAAGCAGGGCTGGCAAGGAATGGGGTCCCTGGTGTTGCAGAGGGATGTGGAGGCAGCTCCCAGCTCTGCTCCAGGAGCTGGAGGAGAAGATGCTCCTCTCCTTCAACCCCTTGAGTCACCCCCAAACAACCACCAGCTCCAGGCTCCAAGGCCCAGATGGCTGCAGCAGGGAAGAGCTTTCCAGAGCAAGAGGAGCTGGGTGTAAATAGCAGACTGTGCAATTAACTCCCCCCACAGCAGAAGGAACAGCCAAAGTGTTCTGTCCATCCTGCTGCCTCCAGGCACCTGGAGGGTGCTGCTGGGCCACCCAGCTCCTGTCCTGGAGGAGCTGAGGGCCACACGTGCAGGGCATGGACCCAGCTCCATCCTGGAGGAGCTGAGGGCCACACGTGCAGGGCATGGACCCAGCTCCATCCTGGAGGAGCTGAGGGCCACACGTGCAGGGCATGGACCCAGCTCCATCCTGGAGGTGCTGCTGGGCCACACGAGCAGGGCATGGACCCAGCTCCATCCTGGAGGTGCTGATGGCCACCTGTGCAGGGCATGGACCCAGCTCCTGTCCTGGAGGAGCTGCTGATGGCCACACGTGCAGGGCATGGACCCAGCTCCATCCTGGAGGTGCTGATGGCCACAGGTGCAGGGCATGGACCCAGCTCCTGTCCTGGAGGTGCTGAGGGCCACATGTGCAGGGCATGGACCCAGCTCCTGTCCTGGAGGTGCTGAGGGCCACATGTGCAGCGTCACAGCAGTGTCTGTCAGTGCCTGGCCATGAAGAGTCCAGCCCCACACTCCTCTGAGGGGCACTCCTGGTGCAGGTGGCTGATCTTGCTGTTCTCATCCACCTTGTAGTACCTGAGCACTGCAAGCTTAACCTTCTTTCTCTTATGCTTGTTCTTCTTGGGAGTAGTGTAAGACTCCTTCTTCTTCTTCTTCATCTTCCTCTTCTTTTTCTTCTTCTTTTCTTCTTCTTCTTCTTCTTCTTTTCTTCTTCTTCTTCTTCTTCTTCTTCTTTGTCTTCTTCTTCTTCTTCTTTGTCTTCTTCTTCCTGCTGATCTGGAGGGATGCCCTCTTTATCCTGGATCTTTGCTTCTCCATTTTCTGTAGTATCAGAAGGTTCAGACTCGAGGGTGATGGTTTTCCCCATGAGGGTCTTCATGGAGATCTGCGTGGTGAAGAGGGCAGGGGCAGCATGGGGCACTGCAGGTACCTGCAGGGCATGGACCAGCTCCTCTCCTGGAGGTGCTGATGGCCACACATGCAGAGCATGGACCCAACTCCATCCTAGAGGTGCTGCTGGGCCACAGGTGAAGGGCATGGACCAGTTCCTCTCCTGGAGGTGCTGCTGGGCCACCCATGCAGGGCAAGGAACCAACTCCTGTCCTGGAGGTGCTCCTGGATCACAGGTGAAGGGCAAGGACCCAGCTCCCATCCTGGAGGTGTTGATGGCCACATGTGCAGGGCATGAACCAGCTCCTGTCCTAGAGGTGCTGATGGTCACACTTGCAGGGCATGGACCCAGCTCCTCTCCTGGAGGTGCTGATGGCCATACATGCCAGGCAAGGACCATCTCCCAACCTGGAGGTGCTGCTGATGGCCCCACATGCAGGGCACAGACCCAGCTCCATCCTGGGGGTGCTGCTGGCCACACGTGCAGGGCATGGACCCAGCTCTTCTTCTTCAAGCCCTGCTTGAGGTCCCACCTCCACCTCCACAGCCTGGACACCCAAAATTCCTACAGCCATGATTTCCCTCTGGATGGAGCATGGGACATCCCAAGGTCATCCTGGCTGACCACAGGGTGCCCCAGCAGCTGGACACAGGGAGCAGCCTCAGGCTGGGAGAGCTGAGCAGGGAGGAGCAGCTCCAGGGGAGGGAGAGGTGCTAGGAAGGAATTAATGTCTGGATCTATAAAACACTTGGTCCCAATTATTATAATGCACTGATTAGGGGAACTCAATAGTTCTGCTGGTGGTTAATGGCAGTAATTACCCAGATATGACTACAGTGGCAATATTAATAACTCTGGGCCATTAGTATTTGTGAGCAATGAGCAGAATACACATCCCTGAGCCTCGGGCTGGGTCTCTCCCCTCCAGCTGCAGCCTGGAGCAGGGCTGGCAGATGCCAGGGCTCAGCTGCAGAGGAAGCAGACCCAGGACCTGGCTGATGTTTGCCAGCTCCAGAAGAATCACAGAATTATTTCGGCTGGGAAAGACCTCTGAGGTCACCAAGTCAACCTTCAACTGAATCCCACTACAGCCACTAAACCTTATCACCTGTGCCATGTCTACTCAGTTTTGAACCCTAGCAGGGGTGGTGATTTCACCTCTGCCCTGGGCAGCTGTACCAGGGCTTGACCACTCTTTGAGTCAAGAAACTTCCATAATGTCCAACCTGAACCTCATCTGACCCAGCCTGAGGCCATTCCCTCTGCTCCTGTCCCTGTTCCCTGGAGCACAGCCTGGCCCCCCTGGCTGTCCCCTCCTGGCAGGAGCTGTGCAGAGCCACAAGGGCCCCCTGAGCCTCCTTTGCTCCAGGCTCAGCCCCTGCCCAGCTCCCTCAGCCTCTCCTGGGGCTCCAGACCCTTCCCAGCTCCATTCCCTGCCCTGGACTTGCTCCAGCCCCTCCAGGTTCTTCTTGTCCTGAAGGGCCCAGAGCTGACCCCAGGACTGGAGGTGTGTCCTCACCAGTGCCAGCACAGCGTGGCTGGAGCCACCACAAGGACGTGGCCTCTTGTCCCTCTCTGGTGAGCCTGGGGCTGTCCCTGCTGGGAGCAGAGGTGACGTGCTGTGATGGTGCTGCTGTGGCCTGGGCTCCTGCTCACCTGGGGGGGCACAGCCTGTCCCCCTGTCCCCTTGTCTCTGTGTCCCTGTGTCCCCCTGTCCCCCTGTCCTCCTATCCCCATGTCCCCCTGTCCCCATGTCCCCCTGTCCCCCTGTTCCCCTGTCCCCATGTCCCCCTGTCCCCGTGTCCCCCTGTCCCTGTGTCCCCCTGTTCCCCTGTCCCCGTGTCCCCCTGTCCCCGTGTCCCCCTGTTCCCCTGTCCCGAATCCCACTGTCCCCCTGTCCCTCTGTCCCCCTGTTCCCCTGTCCCCCTGTCCCTATGTCCCCCTCTCCCCCTGTCCCTGTGTCCCCCTGTCCCCCTGTTCCCCTGTCCCCCTGTCCCTATGTCCCCCCATCCCCATGTCCCTCTGTCCCCCTGTCCCCCTGTCCCTGTGTCCCCCTGTCCCTCTGTCCCCCTGTCCCCCTGCAGATGAGCTGTCCTGCAGTGTGGGTCAGTGCCTGGAATGTTCTCTGGGGAGCTGGGACACAGACAAGGGCTGGCTCCACATCTCCCTGCTGGAGAGGAGGGAGCCAGGCTGGACCCACTGCCCTGGGTTCACAGCGTGATGAACAAACCCCCCCTGGGCAGGGAGGGTGGGGAAGGGCCCCTGGAAGCAGCTTGGAGGAGCTCAGAGGGCAAGGGCTGGCAGTGCTGGGTGCTGCTTCTCCAAAGAAGAGCCAGGATAGGGCTGGAGCAGCCACCACTGGTGTCACCCACCCATCAGGACACTCCAGGTCCCTGCTGGGCACAGAGGGCACCACACGTGCCATATGTGGATGATCCAGCAGAACTGCAAATCCCCTGTGGGGCTGCCATCCCCGAGACACGGACCTGTGCAGCCTTGTCACACTGCACAGGGGACAGAAATCTTTGTCCCAGCACCCTCTACCTGTGCAGCCTTGTCACACTCCCTGTGGGTTATTCCTGTGGTGAATTACAGCTAATTGCAACAAAAGGGCCCAGAAAAGCATTGAAACGGTCTTTCTTAATTTCCAAAGATTAATTAGCATCCTCTACCTAATCTGTGGAAGATAGTCTGTTATAGTTCATGTCCTGTTTCACTGAAGATCCATGGAAGCATATGTTGTACCTAAAAGAGTGGGGATTTTTGGCCAGAAATGGCTCTTTCCCCTGAGTATTTCTAGAGGGGACACACAGCTCTTTGTCCCAGCACCTCTGACAGAGCCCTGCAAGGGGCTCAGGAGGGGGAAGCGGCTTCTCCATGCCCAGCCCAGACTCCCTCTCGCCGTCCCCGGGCTCAGGTTACCCTTGCGGCTGTCTCGGTTTGTCTCCTCGGCTTCCCCGCTCCCGTCCCCATCTGCGGCCGAGACACCCGGCTCCTCCATCTGCATCCCCCGGGACCCCTCTGACTCCAGCCTGGGGCTGCGGCTGCTCAGTCATTGCTCAACAAAAGGGACCATTAATTGCTGCCTGCTTCGCTCCTCCTCGGCAGAAGATAACTGCCACCAGCCTCCAGGAGACTGGAGATGGGCAGGAGAGCAAGGATGTGCTCCTGGGAGAGGCTGGAACTCCAGCGAGATGCTGCCAGCTTCCAGAGGCAGGAGGGGTTGGGATGGGGACAGCAGGGTTTGGGGACAGGGACAGCAGGGTTTGGGGTGGGGACAGCAGGGTTGGGATGGGGCAGCAGGGTTTGGGATGGGGACAGCAGGGTTGGGATGGGGCAGCAGGGTTTGGGGACAGGGACAGCAGGGTTTGGGATGGGGATAGCAGGGTTTGGGGACAGGGACAGCAGGGTTTGGGGACAGGGATGGCAGAGATTGGGATGGGGACAGCAGGGTTTGGGATGGGACAGCAGGGTTTGAGGACAGGAACAGCAGGGTTTGGGATGGGTGATGCCTCACGTTTCAGCTTTTCTATTTTTCAGGTTCTGTGCTGCTTTAGTGTGTGGGTCTGAGCTTCACATTATGGGATGGTGAGCTCTGTGCACAGAGCAGGGAGACAAAACAATTCCTGCTCCAGCTGGGCACCAAGGACAAATGATCCAAATCTCAGCCCAAGAGCACAAACACCGTGGGCTGGAGAGAGAAAACCAAGAAGGATGGGACTTCATAACCTAAATCTAACTGGACAATTAACCCCAATATGCACATGGACTAGAACAATGGGAGACCCCGCGACTGGTTGTCCATTTTTTGGCCATTTTGGTTCATCTCGGGTTCATTTTGGGACCATTTTGGTTCATCTTGGGTTCATTTTGGGACCATTTTGATTCACCTTGGGTGCAGCCCTGGCTGTGCTCTGGTGCTGCCCAAGGTGCATCCATTGAGGAGATCCTTTGAATAAATCCCTGCTTTATTCTTTAGCTCTGTTTCGTCTCTGTTCCAGGTCAGCCTACACAAGGCATCAGGGGACAGCAGAGTCTGGGGATGGGGACAGCAGGGTTTGGGGACAGGGACAGCAGGGTTTGGGATGGGACAGCAGGGTTTGGGATGGGGACAGCAGGGTTTGGGGACAGGGACAGCAGGGCTTTGGCCACTGTGACCAGGCAGGGCCATTCCCTGCCCTGTGCACTCCAAACCCAGCCTCCATCCTCCTCCCAGCCCCTGGGGAACTTTGGCGCTGGTGTCTCCAGCTCAGCCCTAATGATGGGAGCATTTAGCACACAGCGCCTGTATTCAAACACTCCAGCAGGCAGAGACACCCTGTCACCCAGGTGACACATCTCGTACACGCTGCCAATTTAGCAGCAAGACGTCCCTGGAATCTGGGTTAGCGCTGGAAGCAGCTGCCGGTGGCCCCAGCCCCGGGGGAGGGAGAGGTGGGAGCACAGAGCATCCCCCGACCCCAGGAGCAGCCCCCAGCACACCCAGGCTGGGGGGGAAACCTTGGCAGCCCCTCCAGCAGGCAGGCTCAAAGCAGGCAAATTAAAGTGAAAATTAAAAATAAAAATTAAAAAAAAAAAAAAATTTACATCTGTGATTATTTTCCACTGACCTGGACTGGGTGGGAGACCTTGGCACCCCCTACAGCAGGCAGGCTCAAAGCTGGCAAATTAAAATGAAAATTAATTTTTTTTTTTAATTACGTCTCTGGTTATTTTCCACTGAAATTTTGTGAAGAAATCTTCTTTTTCTCCTTTTCCCTGCATTGCCATCAGATTCTCCCCTCCCTGCCAAACCCTTTCCTTGCACAAATGAAAAATCCCAAACAAAAGCTGTCAGGACAGAAGATGGTGAACATGCCTGGCTTCCCAGCAGCCAAAACCTGATTTTCCTAACCAAGCCCAGAAATATTTGTTACCCTGAGAATTTCCAGACTCTTGGTTCCCATTACAAAAAAAGCAAAGCTTTTCCACACGCCCTGCAGAAGTCCCTCAGTGTGTGACCAGTGCTTTGACATAATTACACAGTGATTAAGTTGGATGCCAAAGGACAACACCCTGTCCCTGTCACATCCCTCTGGATCTTGCCAGGGCCAGAGGCCGGGTTTGGGGTCACCCCATCTGCAGGCTGTTATAAACACAAAAATCTGCCAATTTTTTTGGGGATAAAAAAGAGTTGCAGAACCAGTTGGACCAGTTGTTGCCAAGGTGGAGTTCTACCTGTTTGTTATTGTAATCATCGGTCCTTGTAGCTAATTGCTCCTTTTGTGTGGGTATAGCCCTGCCTGGGGCTAAGTGTGCTTCTCCCCAAACAGTGAGAGGAGGGGACATGGGGGGGGGATATCAGAGAAAATGCAAAATTAACCTCAAAGCCAGCATGCCATGGGAGGCTACTCCACCAAACTTACCGAAAAGACCCCAAAAACAACGAGCCAATACAGAATTAAGAGATTAGAGTGATGTCTGGAGGTGAGGAACAGAGTGCTGAGCCTGCAGAGATGCTGAGAACCTTTGTTGCCTCTTGCCCTGAGCACAAAGACTTCAGCTGAGGGGAAGATCCTGGCTGGAGCCACTCTAGAGTTGGGAAACATGGGGTACATCCCCAATGCTCTCGTGGGGACGGGACCCCCAGCTCTGCCCTTCAGTGGACAAAACTGCACATTCCTCCTCCTCCTCTGAGTCACCCTGGGATCGAGGATGGAGAAGCCGTGCGGCCTCTCAACCTTAAGCTGATCGCTTCTAATAAAGGCATTAAAAGGAGAAAAAGTCTCCTGCCCTGTTCATGTCACAGGCAGGGCCCAGGGGGTGCAAGCATCCCTTGGTGTGTGTGAGTTATCCCAAAGGGAGCCGTCCCTGGTTCCCATTCATGCGAGGTGCAGGTTGGAGTTAGGAAATGTCACTGCCTGGTGCCCAGCCTGCATTCACACAGCTCCTGGCACACCTGGAACCCAAAGCTCAGCTTTCCTTGGCAAGCTGGAGCAGTGGATGACACCAGGGATGTTTTTCATGTCGTTACTTTGCGCCTTTACCTCATTTCATATTCAATTTTTAAGCCTTGCCAAGGCTCCTTTTGTCCATTCCCTAATTCCTGCTGCCTTTTAACGTGCCTCAGCTCGTGCATCCCCCTGGCCCAGCAGCCCCCCAGGTCTGGGGGCTCTCAGCCCACTTTGCAGCCGCTCAGGGCTGGGCTGTGAGGATGGGAGGCTGTGAGATTCTCACTCCACGTGCAGCAGGAGCACGCTGGGCTGCTGCAGATCCTCTGCCCTCCCTCCTGCACGCTGTGCTCCCATTCCAGGCCACCTCCAATGCCACCCTTGTCGAGGGCTGGCCACCTTTGTGATCGATAACCACGCTGGTAGTTATTCTTGTCAGGAGAAGGTTAATTGCACCTCCTGCCTGGGGGCACCAGCTGATCTCCGCGGGGGCTGGGAAGGCGTTTTCTGCCTCTGCTCAGCGTTTCCCCAGCCCAATGGGCTGCAGGATGCAGGGATGGACCATGTGCTGGAGCATCAGGTGCTGCAGGGGAGGGGGAGCAGGGGAGCTCTGTGGGACCCTGCTGTCCATGGGGGTTTAGGGGAGCTCCGTGGGACCCTGCTGTCCATGGGGCTTTAGGGGAGCTCCGTGTGACCCTGCTGTATGGGGGAATTAGGGGAGCTCTGTGGGACCCTGCTGTCAGTGGGGTTTAGGGGAGCTCTGTGTGTGACCCTGCTGTCAGTGGGGTTTAGGGGAGCTCTGTGTGACCCTGCTGTCCATGGGGTTTAGGGGAGCTCTGTGTGATCCTGTTCTTGGGGGGCTTTGGGGAGCTCTGTGTGACTCTGCTCTTGGGGACTTTAAGCTCTGCTGTGACCCTGATTTTGAGTGGCATTAGAGGAGCTCTGCTGTGACCCTGCTGTCCATGGGGGTTTAGGGGAGCTCTGTGTGACCCTGCTGTCCATGGGGGTTTAGGGGAGCTCTGTGGGACCCTGCTGTCAGTGGGGTTTAGGGGAGCTCTGTGGGACCCTGCTGTCAGTGGGGAATTAGGGAAGCACTGGTGTGACCCTGTTTCTTAGGGAGGACTGTTCTGATCCTGCTCTTGGAGGCTTTAAGCTCTCCTGTGACCTTGATGTATGGGGGAATTAGGGGAGCTCTGCTGTGACCCTGGTGTCAATGGGAATGAGGGGACCACAGCTCTGACCCTGCTGTCAATGGGGTTTAGGGGAGCTCTGTGGGACCCTGCTGTGATTGGGGCTTTAGGGGAGCTCTGCTGTGACCCTGCTGCCAGTGGGGTTTAGGGGAGCTCTGTGGGACCCTGCTGTGATTGGGGCTTTAGGGGAGCTCTGTGTGACCCTGCTGTCAGTGGGGTTTAGGGGAGCTCTGTGTGACCCTGCTGTCAGTGGGGTTTAGGGGAGCTCTGTGGGACCCTGCTGTCCATGGGGGTTTAGGGGAGCTCTGTGGGACCCTGCTGTCAGTGGGGTTTAGGGGAGCTCTGTGGGACCCTGCTGTCAGTGGGGTTTAGGGGAGCTCTGTGTGACCCTGCTGTCAGTGGGGTTTAGGGGAGCTCTGTGGGACCCTGCTGTCCATGGGGTTTGCAGCTGTCGTGCCCCACACAGCGATGCTGCCCCAGGCTGGGTCACTCCCCAGCACTCTGGGATGGGAGCCCCCAACACACACTCCCAGCACCATGGGCTGCCTTGGGGTCACCCTGGCATCTCCAGCCTGCCTTGGGGACCCAGGAGCTGCAGGGCAGAGGGACACTTGTCCCTGGAGCAGTGATGGCTGGGCCTGGTGTGGCTCTGTGTGGCAGAGGGGTTTTATGGCTCCTGGCTGCCGTGGGGATGAAGCCTGGTGTGCTCCAGCAGTGAGGGCACAGGGGCTGCAGGGCTGTGCTCCTTGAACACATCCCAGCAGTGAGAGCACAGAGGATGCCAGGCTGTGCTCCTTGAACACATCCCAGCAGTGTGAGGGGCAGAGGATGCCAGGCTGTGCTCCCTGCACAGAGGGTGCCAGGCTGTGCTCCCTGCCCAGACCCCA